GCCTAAACTTTTAATTTTAATTCTTAATTTTCTACTATCTAAGTCTTAAAAACCCCAATCAAACTCTGTTTTTCTAATCTAATCTTTTTCCCTAGTCCTAAACATTTAATTTGTTTCTAATGTCCTCGATGTGTTTATACAGATTTAGTCAATTATGAATAAATTGATATATATATATATATATATATGTATATGTATAGTTTGAGAGGATGAATGAAAGAGAGAGATATAAAAAAGTTACAAGATCTATAAATTTTGAAATCTAACAATAATTATGAAATTATTTCAAAATCAAGTGCATGTATATTTACTCTAACTGAAATTTAATTTATGTAGCACATGATTATAGAGGATTTTGTTAATTGATTCTTATTTATAGAAATCAAAAACCATATTTTAACTATAAATATAATCTAATTAACAATTATTTAATCTTATAAAATTTTTTAAAGATCTTCATATTGACTACAAAAACGTAGTTGTTATTCCTAGTTCTCAAAATTATTTACTAGAATTCATATCGATCTTTGTTTTTTAGAAGTCAGCGTAACTAAACAACAAGTTTCTAATACTTATGTTCAACTCTCTTAATTGTAATCTCCCGCATTCGAGTCAACACTTTTCTTCAACAACATCATCTGTTCCTTTTAATTAATGTCAACAAGACTGTGGCTTTTGTCGAGATAGAGGTGGTCTATATCAATAATAGCAATATTTTAGTAATTTTCAAAATTCTAGACAATATTCGTATTCTTATCTCCTACAGCAGCAATATTATGATATATTTAATGTTATCATTATTTCTTTTTATGTAAAAGCCTAAAATTTTATGAGATGAAATTTATTGAATTAATAAAATATAAGCGAAAACAATTGAGAATTTAGAGTTCACATTTCTTACACAGTAAATTAGGATGTCCAATAGAATTATAAGAATATCCCTTAAATGATATTAAAATAACAGAAATAGAAATGCAATTAAAATCTAACAGGGTCAACATCCACAGGACAACTCTGATGGGACGTGAGAGACAACCTTTAGTCGCCAATTTTCTTACTGTTCAGGATATAGATTTTGGTCTTTCTAATATAAAATTTTTAAATAAGAAAAATGAACTACACTAATTTAGTAAGAATGTCAACACTTAATAATCAATACAGAAAATCAAAAGTTAGTAAAAATTACAAAATAATCAATGAAATCATTTTCTTTTTTAGGTAAATTCATTTCATGTAAAAACATAAGTTTCATTCCCACCTTTTAAGTTTTCAAATTCGACTTGTGAAGGCAATTAGCAAGATACCAATTTATTATACATTCCAAGAAACAATAATAGTTTAACTTTATTTTTTTACTTACTTACCGGTACTTTTGGGAGTCCATTGGGGGGTTCCCCCTACACGTGAACCCAATATCTAATTTATTAGTTAACCGGTCGTCCCTATATCCCGTCCTGTAATTGGCGCCAAATGTACCACCGTCTTAATATTTCATCAAGTATGAGGGTGAACAAATACTTCTCAATCCCTTCCGGTATAGGACTTCTCGATCCTGTTGGACTAAGATAATATTCATGGTATGGTTCATCCTATGTACCGGGTCCGTACACTCTTTCCCATGACACCTAATAAGCCCTTTTACATACATGTCCACATCATCAACCAGCCATCAATTATACACAACCAACTCATTCCAAAATTACAAATCAATAAAGCGATAATTAAACATGAAATATAAATTGATATTTTAACAAGTAAGAAAAGAAACGTAATAAGGACATTCATTCCAAACTAATCAACAGATAGGGATAAAACAGTTATATAAATCGATAAAGGAAAGACAATTAAAACCATGAATTAAAGTGCATGTGGTAAGTAAACAATAGCAGTTTAGCAATATACGAACAATATAGATAAAATAAGCAATTTCGTACTGACCAGTTACTGGCTCTACTGGTGACTTGTATTTAATTAATTAGGAGTTTCTAATATTCACAAATTATAGTGTTATTATTTATTAAAAATTAATTAATTTTAACTGGAGAAAATGTGAGTGATTCATACACTGGGTCGATATTCGAAACACTACTTTTTTTACCGTGCTTTCCGATGGTTCCTGAATTTTTTCTGTGGAAATCGAAATACGCATCACATATCCTGAAATATTCAAAAAATGATAAAATAAAGGTTTTGAAATTTTTTAGCCGATCCGGCGCTGGTTCCATCACCGACGACAGCGCTCCTCTCGGTCTGGCTGGTTCGGTCGATTTGTGCGAAAACTGTAAAATTTGAGGTTATGTGGCTCTGTCGGCCGAAAAAAAGAAGAAAAACTGAAGCTTACCAGCAGAGTGGGTTTTCAGTGCGGCAGCTCCGCTATTCCTCTCTCATGGCCGAGGATTTTATTTTGTTATCCTGCACAGAAAAGGATTAGGAATTCAATGGTCGAAAAATAGAAGGAAACGGGAAGCGGGATTGGCTCACCGGAGCAATTTTGGGTCTTGGGTGCAGCAGCTCGGTCGAGCTCCACTCTCGATTTTTTGCTTTTGTTTTGGCTTTTCGTCGCCGATATGGGTGTGAGGATGCTTAGAATTGAATTTCAAAGCAAAAGAGGCAAAAAATGTAACGCCCGTGAAGGGCATTACAAAAAAAAAACTTACCTCTCCGGTGTCGATAACGGCTCCAGTGCAACGATGACAGTGGTTGACTCTCCTTCCAGCCGCTCTTATTCTTCTTCTCTGGCAGGGTTAAATGCGGCTAGGGTTAGGGTTTCTGGGAAGCGAGGCTTAAATACCATCTTTGTGTCGATCTGGGTTGTCCATGTAGGGACACGTGACATTCTCCATCGTTGGATTGCTTTTATTTAGGGAATGAATTTGGGCCGCATGATTGGGTTAAATCTGGTCATTCGATCGCACCTGAAGAAGAAACGGATCTGGGTCGTCCATGCTCGCAAAAAGAGATATGGGTTGTTGGATCCGTTAGCACACGAATCGCCTATGTGGCTTCCTGCGTGGATGCGTGTCTGCCATGTGACGTACGACGACCAGTCACGGTGATGATGTGGTGGTCCACGTGGCCACTTTTATGATATTTTTACTTTTACCCCAATTTTTCATATTTATTTTCAAATAGGTTTTCTTTTATTTCTATTTTGATTCTGATTTTTAAAAATATTTTTAAATACACTCAAAAACATAATTTTCTTCAAAATTTCAAATAAAAATTTGAAATTATTATTTTTTAATTATTTATTATTAAATTTTAATTATCTCAGACATAATATCTGAACTCGAATGTTATATTTTATGTAAGATATCAACCTATAATTATCCTTATAATTCTTCTTATGATATAATTACTCAATCTACTTTACTAATGTTGTCGTACATATTTTAAATATAAAGTATTTTTTACCTTTCGCAATAAGCAATATAAAATCCATTTTTTGTTATTCTTTTAATGATAGTAAGTACGTTTAAGTTGTCATTTCATTAATCAGTCAGTGAAAATTTATCTTTATTTAAGGTTATTCATGCAAATATTTGGCCTTCATAAATTTTTTTTGTTATATATAATGGACAAATTTATTAATGGAGTGATATGTAGATATTAATCATAACATCATATAAAACATTCTCCAAATAGATATACGAGAGTATGACTCAACTCAAATCTACAATATTTTGTAAATGAAAGAATGTATCAACAGTTAAAGTTAAATAATGATTAGTAATTTTTTCTTTTTAAGAATACATATTATCATGCACTATTTGGAAGAACTTTAGTTTTGAGCAACTTTGAGCCAAAAAAAAAAGCCGATATATATATATATATATATATCCTTATATACAAGTAAAATCATGCTTAATATGTAAATTTAGCTCCAATGAAAGTATGAAAGCTTATCAAATATCTAAGCCCAAAATAGCTTGGTTAGACTTTCTGGGCCAATCTCCGGGCCCTGTCAACAAGTTTTTTTTTTTTTAATTTTTTATTTCAACTAATTAAATACTTTTAACTATATATATATATATATATCAGTGATAAAATATAGTGCTAAAATCTTTATCTAATGTTTTATATTTTTATTACTTGCATTTAGTGCTTATAAATACAAAAGTAAAACATCTTTTTATGGTTATAACATAAACCATATATAGATGATGCGATTCTTTCAATTCTCTCTGTTCTTTTTTCTTTTTTCTTGTTCTTCATGAATCTTAGCTTAGGAGAGAAAACTTGCATGATTGAGCTCTTACGCTCACACATCTAGAGCTGTATTCGTGGGGCATATATATATACACACACACACACACATGTATGTATTAACTGGTGGAGGTGGAGGTGGAGGTGGAGGGAGGGATATATAGTGTATAATCTTAGCAGCGAAGAAACGGGAGTAAACAGCCAAAAGCATGCAACTTTATAATAGAAGCCAATTACTTTTTGATTTCTGTATTGGCTTTTTCAATACTAAATATTACATGAGTTTGGTATAACGCTTAAAAAAGTAAAAGTTGAAGTCTTGAATGGAGTTGGCATCCATGAATATACAAACAAAGATCCCTTCACATTCCCATTTCTCTATTATTGGATTTTAATTTCTGAATATTTCACATATACATATATATATATATATTTACAAATTGTTGCTTCATACAAATTTCTTGCCTCATTCCTTTCTCTTTTTCCTTTTTAATATGTGGATAATGCTGAATTATGAATCCAAATTTAATTTTTAATTAAGAATTGTGATCACTTGGCGATGAATAAGTTATAAAAAATAAATAATTAAGAATTTATATAATGTATAATTTTAAATTTTATTTTTATAATTAAAATATTTAAATAGATATAGTTATATATATATATATTAAGTTAATATCTTTCATTTCTTCAAATGATTATGAGAAAAACAAATTCCAACAATAAAAAGAATTTCAAACTTCAAACTTTTTCACTTTATATTTTGTGTGTTAAAAAAACCGCCCGAAGCCACTTTCAAGAGCAAAACAGGGGAGCCAACGCATGAAGACACAAAGATGAGACGACTCTTTCTTCTACTTCTTCTTCCTCTTCTTCTCTCTGCACCTACAGAAAGAAAGAAGGAAAGCCAAGACAAACAAAACCCCATTCCAAAAAGCAAAAGTTGAAAAAGCAGATCACACAAATCACAAACCTTTCTTTTCCATTCCCACCAAAAAGTTCCACAAAGCACACCTCATTAAGCAACATGAACACCCGTAACACAGTTCCTCTTATATCTTCTTTCCCTCCATTTTCTCATCTACAAAATCAACAACACGACCTCTCTATTCTTCTCGCTTCACAACAATGTCTGGAGAGCTTGTTCCCGCAGAGCCTATTAGCGAAGCCTCCACAAGCTATGCACCACCTGTTCGACGTCAAAAAGGAACCCACAACTCAGACCAGTCTATACCTCTTACAAGGTCACTCACTTATGGCGACCACGTTGTTCCTGGGCCGTTTGATAGTGAGAGGTTGCCTCCAACTTTGGCTTCTGGGATTCAGAAGTTCCTTCGAGTCGCTAACTTGATTGAACCCGAGGAGCCTCGCGTTGCTTATCTCTGTAAGTTGCTTTCTTCTGTTTTGGGCAACTCTACTGGGTTAATATCTTTCATTGGTTATCACCAAAATCATGTTTTTCAGTTTAGTTATTCTTGGGTTTGACGTAATCTCTTTCAAAGTTTTTACCTTTTGCTTTCTTATATGAGAAACTTCTTTCTAGAAATGCAATTCAAAATATGAATGTGATATATGCCTGCTTGCATTTCACATGGGTTAATGGAGTTTTTGGGGGGCAGGTCGGTTTCATGCTTTTGAGATAGCACATAGTATGGACCATAATTCAACAGGAAGAGGTGTTCGGCAATTCAAAACCTCTCTTCTTCAACGACTTGAACAGGCAAGAACTTTGAACTCAGCTCATTACAAGAATTAGCAGTAGTGAAGTGAATGTTACACAAAAGTGCCTTTTAAATTGATGCTATACTTGCCACATGCTAACATTATATAATCTTTCTATAATGATTATTCCCAGAGATCTTTCTTTTTAACCTGTCTCATGACAAGAAATTCCTGTTGTAGTTCAGTTGACTTTCAATTTCCTGCAACTTCTTGTGATTCCCAGCAACAACTTATGGACATGGTTATTCCCAGGGATTTTTTTTTTTTTTTTACCTCTCTCATGATAAGGAACTCCTTAGGTCTTTTCTATCCGTTTTGAAATTTCCTCTCATCTCTGGCTTTCTTACATCACAGGATGAAGAAACTACCATAAGGACACGTAAGGAGTCGAGTGATACACGTGAATTAAAACGTGTTTATCATGCATATAAGGAGTATATAATCAGCCATGGCGGGGCATTTGATTTGGAAAATAGGTTACTCAGCATAATCTTGTCCATGTTTATGATATGCTTGTTCTACTAAACTACTTCAATAATCCCTTTACATTTGATATGTCGAGCTAATTTTGGATATTTGTCTGAACTAGTCACCGAGAAAAGTTGATAAATGCACGTAGAATTGCTTCTGTTTTGTATGAAGTACTAAAGACGGTTACAAATGCAGCTGGTCCTCAGGTGCTCCTCCTATTTCTTACTCTTACTCATTAATTGTTATACCTCAGCAACTAACATAAGAAGTAGCTTACATAAGTAACTGGATATTCTGGATTGCTATATATTTGTCATCTCTCATCTCACATATTTCACTCTACTCTTTTAATAGGCCATTGCTGATAGAGACAGCATTCATGCAAAATCTGAGTTCTATGTACCTTACAACATTCTTTCACTTGACCACGGAAGTATTCAGCTAGCAATTATGCAACTCCCTGAGGTCTGATGCCATTTTTACAACTCAATGATTTTGTCATTCCATAATCTTTTCTTTTTTTTACTGATAGAAGGATTTTCAGGTTTTCTTCTTGATTAATAAGAATTCTTTTACTGCTCTAGTTGGCTGAACTACCAAAGGGCCTCATGAATTTTTTTTTTTCTCCTTTCCCTCCTAGTTAATCTATTATTTTATTTTGTCTTCAATATGTCATTGATGATATGAACTTATCTGCTGCCAATAATTCTTGACAAATGAAAACAGTGAAATAAATATATTAACTTGTGATTCATTTGATGCAGATTAAAGCTGCAGTTGCAGTTGTTCGCAATACTCGTGGTTTGCCTTCACACCAAGATTTTAACAGACATAGACCTTTCGTGGATTTGTTTGAATTTCTTCAATATTCATTTGGCTTCCAGGTAATTTATCTCGAACTTCCTGTTTAATTTTTATTCTTTTTCCCTTTCCCTTTACAGATTGATCCGGAATGACACTGAATTAGATTTTGAGTTGGCAACTGGACTTGAAATTTTGTCTTCCAACAGGAAGGAAATGTAGCCAATCAAAGGGAGCATCTGATTCTACTTCTTGCTAACACTCATACGCGGCAATCTAATAAACAGTCTTCTACACCCAAGGTATATTTTAAAATATCAATTCTCAATATCTTATTAACCTAGTCCTTCTCATTGAATTTGACATGTATATTATGGAATACCAGTCAGGGGATGAGGCTCTGGATGAATTAATGAAGAAGTTTTTTAAGAATTACACGAATTGGTGCAAGTTTTTGAGGAGAAAAAGCAACATCCGGTAAGAAAAGTGTTTTTTTTTTTTTTTTTTTTTTTTTTTTTAACATTTGGATTGCAATGGTAAATTTAGAAAGCACGCATTGCATCTAATCCTGACAAAGTTGAACTATCCTAGCTTGGCAGTTAAGGTCCTTATTTGTTTGATGGATTTTGCAGATAATTTCTTCCTATCTGTTTGTTATAATTTTTTACTCCCATAGTGCTATTTTTCTTTCTTGAAACTTCATTTTTTTTTAAAAAGAAAAAAATTCCGTTTTCTTGGTATCTGTAGCAATGAGTAATCACTTTATCCTATAGGTTGCCTTATGTACAGCAGGAAGCCCAACAATATAAAATTTTATACATAGGGCTTTACCTTCTTATCTGGGGCGAAGCAGCAAACTTGCGGTTTATGCCAGAATGTCTGTGTTACATTTTCCACCATGTAAGTTGAAATATATTTTGCTGTTATTTAGCTCATTTTGATTGATTCTTGGTTGTAGTTTTTGTTACCTGTCCAGATGCAACTAAAGTATTCTTGAACTTCGAAAGCATGAAGAATTCTAGTTGAAAGACTGGTGGAAGTTATTAATTTAACATGCAGAAGCTGCTAGACTGTCGTTGTCTTAAGATATATTTAGCAGTGATAGACCACTATGGCAAAGAACGGCTTCTTTTATATCAGAGTGAACAGAAAGCTTTGTTTCATCAGTTCTCATGGTAGTCTTATTGGTTGAAGCTCGCAAGAGTTCTTTATATCCCTATTTGAATACTCGTAAAAATAGAGGGATCAACAACTTAAGTTTATTATATTAAACAGAGAACGGGAGCATTAGTCAATGCACCAGACCATCTCGAACCCATGAAATTGATAGATTTCATTGTATTTAAAGAAACAAGACAAGTAAACTGCTGGTGTGATTAAAATCAATGGCAATGGTTCTATACTTATTTTGTATATCTGAGGGATGAAACTGGTCTGCTCCTTTGAATAGCTTGTGAACTCAACTCATGTTAGATCAACTTTGATCTACTGTGCTATATAAAATCATCTCTTGTTTTACTCATTTAACCATCATTATTTGCCCTTTTCCCTTTGGTTCAGCGATATTTTCCTTTTCATGTTGAGTTATAACTTAAATAAACAAGTTAGAGTTGGGGATAACTTTTTTGTTAGTAATCCTTACATTTCTTCTCTAATCTTTTTTTTAAAAGAAGATTTCATTGCTTTTCCAGATTCAAAATTCCAAAGTTGTTCTATATTTGATTGACAAAGCTTTTTAAAGCATTTTGGTTAAAAATGTACAATAGTTTCTCCAGCTACATGATCAAAATTTTGAATTTAAGGGTAACAGAATCCAACTATATGGCCACGTAGAGGTTTTTGGAGCTTCTTTGCTCTGATTTTGAAGTGGTGATGATTTTATTCCTCTGGCATGAACAATAGAAGATAGAATGAGAACAGTGTGACTGGATGAGCATCTAGCATAGTGAGAAAATGAACAGCATGAAATCTCTATTTACAACAAGAAAGAAATGGCTTCTCATCAATGCTAACACCTACTCGTCCCCCTAATACAGTTACAAGGCAATGAATAGGAGTATTATTCCCTTTTTTCTTATATCTGGAGTCCACCAAAGAGGCAAATCAAACCTACCTTGCAAGGTAAACCTTGGAGTACCCGGCCTATAGTTACCCCCTCCATTCCAAACAAGAGTCTGACCTCCAGGGCATAATCAAACTCAAGACATCCTAGTCACTATTCTCTTTTTAATTATGGCAACCTGACTGCAGCATGTTAAGCTGTTCTCTTTCTTCTCAAGAATGTGGAGAAGTCATTGTACAGTATGTGGGGTTTGCAAAATCCTAACACAAACTGCTATCTCTGTATTTCTAGTCCATAACTGCTACCTGACACTATTTCTATGCTTCTCTTTTTTTTAAAAAAAGAACATCTGGAATGCCAGACTTAGCATAGAGTAATTATGTCAACCTACATAAGTATCTTGGGTGTAAGTTTGAGTTTAAAATGTGAAAGAAGTATCTCTTGAATAGGAGCTCTATCTCTGCAAAGAATGCAAACTTTTCTTTCCATTTTAAACTTCACATGCGTGTATCACATTGAAGGTTGTAATGTGTGATTATGAAATGAACTTGGGAATAAGTGTATCGATCATTGTAAACGATATTTTCTTTTCTGTCTTTAATTTCAGATGGCATATGAATTGCATGGCATGTTAACTGGTTCCATTAGTATGACTGCTGGGGATAAGGTCAGGCCAGCCTATGGAGGAGAACCTGAGGCTTTCCTGAAAAATGTAGTTACCCCTATATACAGGGTTATCTACGAGTAGTTTTCTAATTTCATATTCCTGTAAATTTTCCTATTAAGCATCTAATTCCATGGAAAAATCTGCAGGAGGCTGCTAAAAGCAAGGGTGGAACAGCAAACCACTCTTCGTGGAGAAATTATGATGATCTCAATGAGTATTTTTGGTGAGAAAGTGATAATTTCCTTTACTTTTGCCCTCTGAATTTTCATATTTATCATCCAAAGAACCAGATTAGGTAGAGCTTCTCCATTCTGCAGGTCACATGATTGTTTCCAAATAGGTTGGCCCATGCGACTGGATCACTATTTCTTTCAAGTTCAATATGTGCATAATCAAAAAGTTTCAAATGCTCGGCCACCTGTTGATTCTGCTGAAGAAAAAGTTGAAGGGGAGGGGAAGGAAGATGATGAGGTGGGGGTAAATCATTTCAGTAATTCATGAAAAACCCCCTTTGAATCATTTGTATATGACCTATAAGATGAATGGACAGTTAATGACAGTGAGAATGTTTTTCATCTTTAGTCTGACAGCCAGCAGCCTGCTGTTTCTAGTTTGTCAAGTAGAATATGGAGCATATTGTTTCTCAGTGCCCAAGTAAGTGTGACACCCAATCGGTTTAAGCCTAATCTCATTCAATTGCATAAATGATGGTTTTCCTTAGGAGTTCTGGCACAAGATATATTTATTCAAGTAGTTGTAATGAAAGAAGGGTGTGTTTTGAATATTAAGAGGAGAATCGAGGTTCTTTGTTTTTTTTTTCTGCAATGAGGAGTATCTAGGTCTTAAGAAGTTAATTGTGGTTAGACATTTATTTTTAAAAGGAAAAACATTCAAGACCCTGAAGTAATCATATGATTTGCGAGCTGATGATTGCATCATTTAAGTCTGTATTCCAGCCATGCTAATTTGCGCTCTCTAGCCATTGAAGATTTTCTCTTTATTTTCTTAGACTTCATTGTATGATGTAGCCTGTGATTTCTTTCAACTCAAACTTATTACCCAAGCATTCAGGTTACTTTTCACAGTCTGTTAACCTGGAAAAGTGAGACATATATAACACATATTTTGGGATATCAATGTTTTTGTCTGTCCATCCATGTGCATGTTTTTCTGTCAATATGTATTATGGCATCTGTGCAATTATTAAATTAAAGAGGGATATATATAGATTGCGTGTAACTATGTATGCATGCAATTTGTTGTATTATGTTGATCCGTCTTTATGTTGAGCTGAAAATTGTGAGTTCTATTGTTAGTTCTGTTTCTAAGCCTTCTTCTATTAATATTTGTTGAAAGATCATCAGTAGCAGGACTCGTAGTTATGCTTGCCTTACTCAAGTGCTAACTTTTTCTATCTGTTTCTGATTCTGTGTTCTTCTTTTTCTTTCTTTTTTTCTCACACAGCCTACTTTTAAAGAAAGTTGTCAATCAAAATGGTTAGGGAAGACAAATTTTGTCGAGATACGTTCATTTTGGCAGATTTTTAGGAGCTTCGATAGAATGTGGCACTTCTTTATTTTATCTCTGCAGGTTTTTGTTTATCCGCTTGTTACTTTTCTTTTTCTTTTGAACCTGTTAAAATGGTCCACCCGTTGATTGCCAGTCACAATCATTTTGCTGTCTTTCTATTTGTTATCAGGCAATGATTATTATGGCTTGCCACGATGTGGAATCTCCGCTTCAGATGTTTGATGTAATAATATTTGAGGACATTTTAAGCATCTTCATTACATCTGCAATTCTTAAACTAATACAAGGTATGTTGCCTTGCTTGGAACTGACATATTGAAAAGTATATCTCTTACCAGTCATGATCAATTTGCTGGTGGATGTCTTATCCACACTATCTACTTTGTAATTCTTCCCTCTCTTTTAATAATATCTTTTCTTTTATCAGAACATTGAAACAACTGTCCCTGATAATAATTGTGAATGCTTTTCTGAAAAGAAAAGAAACAGAAGTAACCATATTTTTGTCAAATTCCTTAAGATTGATATGATGTTTTGCAAGATCTTGTTAATAGGAAGATTCGTTATTTGCCATGTTCTTATTGATAACTTGTTGCACACAGTCTATGTGGATGAGTTTTTTGCGTTTATGCAAATGTATGTTTAACCTCGTGAGCA